GCCATCAGGTTCTGCACTTGTAGGACCTGAATTTCTGAATTTCTTTCCTTAGAACAAAGTTGCTAGCATTGAATTCCTTTATTTTTTGTTTACCCGTGAATGCCTTAATTCATCCTTTGTTCATGAGGGGCAGTTTTTCTGTGTATTAACCCTCTTTCCTCGTCTTGTGAATTATAATTAGAAATCATCATCTTATTGAAGATATGTCAAACATGAGTTGTTTTTCTCTTGTTGCTTTTCAGTACTCTCTTTACAAAGTCTTTATGACAGTTTTCCTGTCATAAGTGGATTTGAATATGCATTTATCATTTTGACATATTACTCTTTCATGTATTGATTCATCTGTTTTATCAATAGATGCGCATGACCATTTTCCACATATCCTTTCTTCGTTTCCTATCTCCTTTGACTCCCATTGTATTTTTTACTTTTACTGAGTATACTTCTGCTGCTGAATCTCCTAAGTAGTATTGTTCTTTATGTTTGATTATAATTTCAATTTCTGTTTTCACCAATAGTTATTTAGGATTTTTTGTTTGATTGCAAAGCTGAGGATTGAACACAGGAATTTGAACATGCTAGGCAAGTACTCTACTACAGAGTATACCCCTATTCTTAAAAGTCACCTTCACTCATTAGACTCTATGAAATTCCAAACGCACATGTGAAACTTTTATATTTTTTGTTTTTTGTTTTTTTGTTTTGAGACAGGGTGTTACTATGTAGTTCTAGCTAACCTGGAAATCTAGGCTGGCATTGAACAGATTGACCTGCATCTGCCTCTTGTGTGCTGGGAACATAGGCATGCCCTACCTTGCCAGGCTGCAAGTGAAACTTGACTTCACAAGTCCCCATTTAGTGATCACTGCAACTGTGGGAGTCTTCCAAAATTAGTTTTATAGAGTAACTAAGTGATGGCAGAGGAAGTAACTCCCTCCTGCTGTAGGCTTCATTTTTAATACTGATTCCTGAAATATAGCACTTTATTTCTAAAAGCTATTTATAACCATTATTTTGTTTAATTATAAGAATCCAAACCGGGCATGGTCGTGCACGCCTTTAATCCCAGCACTCAGGAGGCAGAGGCAGGTGGATCTCTGTGAGTTCAAGGCCAGCCTGGTCTACATAGTGAGTTCCAGGACAGCTGGGGCTACAGGGAGACCCTAGGTCTCAAAAAGACCAAAAAACAAAACAAAACAAAACAAAGCACAATCTGGAAAATAGGAAGAATAGATTCTACCAGTAGAATGGAGGTGGAAAATAGGCTCAGAAATTACCTGGGATAAAAGGAATCTTGGAGCTGCGAATGTTACCCCATGGTAAAATACTTTCCTAGAATGTGGGCAGCCCAAGGTTTGATCTCTAGCAGTGAAAAATATGAGAGATCATTGAGTTCAACACTCATATTTTGCAATTAGAAACTGACTATGAAAGCAGGACATGGTGATACATGCCTTTAATCCCAGCACTTGGGGGGGGGGGGGCAGGAGCAGGAGGATCTCTGTGATTTCAAGCCCAGCCTAGTCGACATAATGAGTTCAAGCCATTTGGGGCCACAGGGAGACTCTGTTTCAAAAAAAATTTTTTTTTTAAAAAAAAAAAAAAAAAGAAAGAAAGAAAGAAAAAGAAACTGAGTATGAGAGCTAAAATCTGGATATTTTATATGCATACTTGATTTGTGTTTTGGGAAGATCCCATGGGAGAAACTTTCTTTTTATCTACCATGTAATACAAAGTTAATTATACTAGCTCTCCATATCAGATTAAGTACCATTTTTACAAACCTTATTCAAAGGCACTGAAGGTTTAATAGAATATTTAAAGTTTCAGGTAGCAGGAATTTGTATCATGCCATTCTTGTTGGTCTTGGATGCATTTAGTGGTATTTTTTGATCCTGGACTAATGTTCCAATGAGAGGGGAACTGCCAGAAAATGGGTTATAATTAAAGCTTATAATTAGCTCAGCGTTGATAAGAATCAGATATCAAACATTGTCCACAACTATGGCGGCTACTGAGAAAAAATGGCTCTGTTTTATAGGTTCAGAGTGATGACTGCCTCATTTATGACTAGTTGCAGATTTAAATTTTCCTGGATAGAAGACCTTAAGAGTCTAGTATTTTCAACAGGTTGCTATATCATACACTAACCCCAAACTCAAGTCCATTTATAACACTGACGATAAATGGATTTTTAATGTCTAAAATTCACTACCAGCATTATTGATCTAATATGATTCTCTGTAGCTTGTTCTATACCCCTACTCAAAAATGTTGCTCTGTTATATCCTGATTTTTAGCCATTCTCCTCAGAGTGATGGGGCTACTGAATTAGACACTGTCCCTTCCCTTAATGAGTTTTCAGTTTAGTGAGAGATATCAGCATGTACATAGATAATTATATCACTATGGTATGTTCTCCAGCGGAAAGGAGTACAAGGTGTTATGCATTGAAAAGAAAAATTATTTTTACTGAGTCTGAACCTGCCAAAGGTTGGGGTAACATGGCTGTATTGAACCTTAAAGATCAGGTTCATCAGGCACTGAAAGATTTGGAGGGGAGGGGAGGGTCTAGAGGGACATGGGGTGAATTACTGGGGAATCTTATACATACAAAACAGGGAAGAATTCTCTCTCGAAAGCATGGACATTGGAAATAGAGTGATGAATTAGGGAAGCAACAAATAATTTATGATATTGTGCTAGAAATGTTGCTATGAGCAGGTCATTAAATAATATGTCGTTGAATTGAATTTTATTATGAGAGTTTTGAGCGAGAGATAGTTGTAATGCTTTTGGGATAGTATGGAGTATGCTTTAGATGTATGCAGATCTGGACACCGAGATGTGTTAGAAGGCTACTGTACTGAATACAATAAAGGATAGCAAAAGGTCAAAAGGAGTGATAGCAGAAAAGAGGAGGCATAGAACTTACTCAAAAACTAGTGACGGGGGGCAAGAAATAAAGCAACCAATTCTTTTTTACTGTGACAAATGTGCACTACCCCCACTACTAGTACTTCTAGTCTTGAGGAAAAACCCTCTCATGTCCTTTTGGTGGATGTTACTATAGGATCCTTTTCAACAGATTTTTTTAAATTATTGAGAAAAGCCATATATACATATATATATAATGCTGATTCCCAGAAAGGGCAATATTGAAATAACAGCATCCCTTTTGTACCATTCCTACCTTTGTGATCTTTCTCATCATAACTGCTCTTCTTTCACTCTTTCATGTTTCACGTATTTAAGGAAGAAATAGCCTTAGTTATTGGCTCAGATGCTTCATTTAGAAACTCTAAAATGTTTATCACTTTACTTTGCAGCAATAAGTGTGTACAGTAATTAAAAATACAAACATATCCAGTGTTTATTTTCTCTTTTCAAAGCAACATAAAGCCATGCATGGTGGCACATACCTGTGGAATCCCAGCACGTAGGACGCTCCTACAGGAGAATCATCCTGACTGGAGGCCAGCCTTGGCTACATAGCAAGACCCTACCTTAAAAGAACCCATGAACATATTTTCTACTTAAGGCCTAAAGTATTGATCTTTAGGATTCATAGAAAGGAATCATGAACAGAATGATTTTATTTAAGCAGAACAGCTTTTTTAAGAGGACTTATATTACCTACCATCTTGGATGGCTTTAAGGGGAAGAAGATTGAGAAAGAAGCCCTGAGCTGTGCAGGAAAGCAGTAGAGTGACTGCTGGCTTTGGGCCTTGGAATTAGATAGCCTGTACTTAGACTGATCCCACATTTACTGATGTGGTCATATTTCAGTTATTTTGGGGATTGATTAGAATATAAAGATTTGCTGAAATTATTTATGTAAATTATTTAGAACAGGCTGAGAATAAACTGTCAACTGTAGTTGCTGTTATATTTACTGTTGATAATGATTAAATGAACATAGTTACGTAGTATATTATATATTTTAAGTCATCAGGGATGTTCAAGTTGAGAGCAAAAAAGACTTTTCAGTGAAGCCACTTCTGATACTTTTTTTTTCTACCAGTCTGCGTAGGAAACCCAATGATGTCTTCCATCCACACTCTGATTAGTAATCTATTGCTTTTGCTCTCTGCTGAAAAGTTTTATTGCACCTAAATAAAGGTCTTTGTAAAAAAAAAAAAAAATTAGAAAAACTGCTTTAGAAATTATCTGAACTGAATTTGAAACCTAATTCCAACTGCTTAGTAGCTATGTTATTTAATGCATATTAATTTTCAGGGTTTCCACGAAGATATCTGTAAATTATATCATAGGCACTCTATAAATACCAGCTCTAATTGGTTTTTGGGACAGTCAATGCGTCACATAAAGAAACAACAGCAGGCCTTGGTGCTCAGGAGGACTTCATGGATCCAGCAGCAACCTAGAGTGGTGCTCCTCTGAAGAAATCCTACTCGGATAGATATAATACAACCTGCTAAGTGTTCTAGCACTTAGCAGGTTGTATTATCATTGTCCGTGTCTGTGACTCTCATCTATCAGACTAAATTCGTTAAGGGCAAGGATGGTGCCTTATTCATCTTTGTATTCACGATGCCTAACCCGGTGCACATTGTAGGCCTCATTAAATGTTTGTTGAATGAAAAAATGAATCATCAACAGACATTAATTGGGCGCCTACTCTGTGATCTCCATGGGCTCAGCTTGTTCCTGCCAGTTGCCTACAACGTCCAAGCTCTCTTCAAAGTACTTACTTCTGAAGCTTATTTCTATCTTCCCTGTCTTGTGATCAGGACTTTCCTGTGTAGTATAATAGCAAATATACTTCATCTCATGGATCATCTCCAGTTGATCGATAAGAGGGCTGATAAAGGCTGATGGTGGGAAGGGAAAATAGCAGCCCACATACCTTAAATGTTATATTCAAATCTGTGTTTTCTGTGAAATATTCCATTTATATACCCGTGTTTTGGAATTAACTGCTTACAGATGTTGCATAGCTGTTGTTTTTACTATAATTGCTCCCAATTACTCCCTAGGTTTGACCAGAGTGATTATTCAGGAGGATCTTCATCTGTACAATCTTGGGTTTTCTATCATGGTTGGTATTCACACTTTTTACCTTTCAACTCTGCCCTGTCTACTAGCTACAAGACTCATGATTCCTTTTTTTTT